GGATTGTAGTAGTATAGAACTTACACGTGGGCCTGACCCACTTCTATTTTTTTAGGTATACGACATTTCCAGACTTAGACGTATTCGTGCTGAGCAGAGGTTTCTAGTCACTCTACCAACGACGCAGGACTTTATCCATAGCTTTTATCAGGATGTTCTTTCAGTTATTTTAATTCAGTTTGGATTCTTATTAGGGGTCCACTAGAGTTGGATTCCCGAGTTGTTAAAATTATAGAGTTTGGATTATCGGATTTTAACAATTATATTATTGAGGATTTTTAATTTTATTATTTTAGTTTCTTCCAGCTCATTATATTTTTCTTATTCACTTTGTATTCTGTGTTCACATTAAATATTAATTGTTTGATATTCCCTCGGGTTTGGGCTAGACCTGATCAACCCATGTCTCGGATCTGAGGGGTATCATAGAATGGTCCCATAAAATCTGTACCCTATACATTGAAGATTTCAACTACAAAGACTAAAGTTATGTGCATCATGTCTCTCTTTGACATTGATCCCAACTTTTGGCACCGAACACACACCTTGCAAAAGTTATAGGCATCTTGGTCGATAGTAGGCTAGAAGAACCCACTTTGAAGAACCTTCAAAGCAATCTTTTTTCCACTAAAATGCCCACCACAAGCAAGTGTGTGACAAAACACAAGGACGCTCAGAACTTCATTTTCCAGCACACATCTCCTTATGATTTGATTAGGGTAATAACGAAACAGAATGGGATTTTCCCAATAGTATTTTCGGATGTTAGCAAAGAATCGGTCATTTTCTTGTTTTGACCAATTAATGGGAAGTTTACCGGTTGCAAGATAGTTAACAATGTCAGCAAACCAAGGCAATATCCCATTTGAGATTTTAAAGAGTTATTCATCTAGAAATGATTCATGAATTTCAAGATTTGGAGAAGATTCAACCATTAATCTAGACAGATGATCGGCAACGACATTGTTGGAGCCCTTTTTGTCCTTAATTTCAAAGTCAAATTCTTGAAGAAGTAGGATCCATCTTATCAAGTGAGGTTTGGTTTCCTTTTTCATTAAAAGATGCTTAAGAGCGGCATGATCAGAAAACACAATGACTTTGGATCCTAAAAGATATGACCGAATTTTATCATGGGCATATACTACGACAAGTAATTCTTTCTCAGTGGTAGAATAGTACAATTGGACACCTGAGAAAGTCTTACTCACATAGTATATAGCACATGGTAGCTTACCTACCCTTTGCCCCAAAACAGCACCCATTGCGAAGTCGGAAGCATCACACATAATCTTAAATGGTAATGTCCAATTTAGAGGTTGCATGATGGGAGCGGTTGATAGAAGAGTGCGAAGTTGATGAAAAGCATTTAGACATGCTTTATCAAAGACAAATGGAGTCTCTTAGCAAGAAGGTTGCACGAAGGTTTAGCAATTTTGTTAAAGTCTTTGATGAAGCGGCGATAAAAACCAGCATGTCCTAGAAAGGAGTGGATTTCTCTCACCATAGTAGGTGGAGACAATTCGGATATTAGCTCAACTTTTGCTCTATCTACTTCTATTCCTCTTTTAGAAATGACATGTCCAAGCACGATTCCTTCTTGATCCATGAAATGGTTCTTTTCCCAACTTGACACAAGATTAGTCTCACGACATCTTTGAAGCACTTTTTTGAGATTTTGGAGACACGAATCAAATGAGGACCCAAAAGCTGAGAAGTCATCCATGAAGACTTCTAAATGTTTCTCCACTATGTCTGAAAAAATTGACATCATACACCTTTGGAAAGTGGCATGAGCATTGCACAATCCAGAAGGCATCCATCGATAAGCAAATGTACCGAAACGATATGTGAAACTGGTCTTTTCTTGATCCAATGGATCTAGGGCCACATGATTGTACCCCGAGTAACCATCTAGGAAGCAATAATATTGTTGCCCAGCTAATCTTTCCAAGATTTGGTCAACGAAGGGTAATGGAAAATGGTCTTTCCTAGTGGCGGAATTCAGCTTTCGGTAATCTATGCAAACACGCCATGAAGTGGCGGTGCGTTTTGAGATGAGATCACCCTTAGCATTTTCAACAACTGTAATTTTTAACTTTTTGGGAACCACTTGAGTTGGACTAACCCACTTGGAATCAGAGATAGTATTAAATGATTCCCGCATCTAGAAGTTTCACAACCTCCTTCATGACAACTTCTTTTATATTTGGGTTAAATCTCCTTTGAGCATCCCTAAATAGCCTTTCATCCTCTTCCATGTGTATGCGATGCATACAAATAGAAGGGTTAATGCCTTTTAGGTCAGCCACACTCCATCCAATGGCTTCTTTGTTAGCTTTAAGGACTTCCAAAAGATCATTCTCTTGGTCATTTTCAAGATTTGAAGCAATGATGACTGGAAGAGTCTCTTTGGGCCTAAGAAGGCGTATTTGAGATTGGATGGCAGAAGCTTAAGCTTAAGAGCCAGGGGAGAGATGAGAGAAGGAACTGGTGGAGTACTAGAGAGTGAAGGAAGAGGTTCTTTCTTGCTTTTCCAAGATGGGAAATCCAATGTGGCCATAGAGTTTATTAAAGCATTCACCTCACTTATGGATCCTTCTGTGTCAAAACCATAACTTTCAAACATTTCACAAAGGCATGCCTCAAGAGGGTCCTTATCCGCACTAGTCTGTAACTGGTATCAGAGCCTGTACCTCGAGCTTGGACCACTATTGTAAGCTTTCCTTACTATATTACAGTATTATTCAGTGTTATTTGTGCTTTAATTACTGTTATAAATCTCATACGTTTGAAAACTGTTTAAACTTCCCATATTTTCCTGTATTAGCTTGTTTGTCTGTACGACTATTTTAAAAGCTTTGTCACAGGAACACACGGTTTTAGGCACCATGACAGGAATAAAAAGGTCTTAAGAACCCTTAACTGTTTTCTTATGGCACAAACTACCTCTGTCAATTGTATCTGTAATATTGTAAGATAAGAACCTAATAATAATAATCATACTGCACATTTTTCAACTTCAGATCCACTCAATTTTAGCCAAATTGGAGTAGAAATGAACTTTTTAATCGATATGGTTAATGATTGGAAATACGTATTTCAACTTAACCTTGATTCTACAAATTTTCAATTAGAAACCTCATTTAAAGATTTGCAACAAGGAATGATTTCCTTAAATGATAAGCTTGAGACTCTTACACAGATTATCTCGCTATCTGAAACTCCGGACAATTAAGATCTAAAAGATCAGATTCATCAGATAACTATTGATCTAGCAAAATTAAAAAAAGCAAAGTTATCTGATCTCTACCCTCCTGATGATCCACCGGATAAAGATAAAGTAGATAAACAATCTACTCAATCTCCTCCTTCTTCCCACACAGAAGATAACCCAAAAGATAACCGGTCTACTTCTACTCGAACCATATATAGGTTAAGCCCCTTTTTTATGGTTATGTAGATATTAAAGTACTTAATGAGCAACCCTCATCAAGCTACAACAAAGAGGAATAGGAAAGCATTGTAGACTATCTTAGTTGTTTACAAGAGCTATACATTAATCCTCAACTATCTTTTGATAAAAGCACACATATCATCAATCAGATAAGAGAAACGTCTTTACAACATGAAGCTCTCCTTACACTCTTCGGATACAATTTTAATTTATCTGATAGTGATACGGAATCAGAAGAACAAATACATGTTTTTTCTGATCAATCCGATTCCGACAAATTCAACAATTCAGGTGAATCTGAATCCATTGATGAAGAAATACAAGCTGACCCTCAGCTTTTCCCATCTACTTCTCATCGAAGAAAACGTGTTTTCGACACTATTATTGATGAATCATTCTATGGTGATTTTCCTCCAACAGAAGAAATGCACCCAGCAGAAGAAACTGCTATTCCAGCCTCTGGTACACCAGCCGAGACTTCCAAAACAGCAGATCCCAAACCTACTGCTTCTGCTACATCCTATAATTATGATTATATGACTTTTCCTACCTTTACCAGAAAGGATAACCTCAATAAGTTTCCTATTTCACAACATGGTACTTATCTTGATCTTACAAATACTCCCTATAAAGATCATCTCAAGACAATCGATGAATGGGCATAATCGTTAGCAATTCTGGTCAATAACCAAAAGGCCCTTTAGAAAAGAGATCGTTTCCTCGATTACATTTCCGCAACCTTACAAGGTGATGCTCTTGATTGGCTTCGCCAGTGGGATCAAACTCCTCAAGGACAACGACAGAAAGATGAGCTTCTTAACAACTTCGACAACCTTGATGGTGTCTTACGTGGATTTGTTAAAATCCTAAAAGAAACTAGTCGGCCATACCGGTGAAGTACTTCTCTCCGACGATGCTAATTTCGCTCTTTCTAAGATAGAATTGTGCGATATCTGCCAGTTTCCAAAGCACGTCAAGATATTCACCAAATATTTTAGGCGTCTTCCTCCAAATGCTATGGAACATTGGTTACCCCAATATTTCCATAAACTTCCAAGCCCTTGGGATGAGCTAGCCATTAAAGGCTATCCCAACTTTCTTATTCGTGTTAAGTGCACCGATAACCTTGGTTACCGCACTAATTTCATTTATCGTTTAATTAACGAAAAATGTTTAGAAACAAAAGCCAAAAAACAGGTCAAGAATTAAATCAGCAACACTCCCGTTGGACAGCGATGTTGCGACAAAATTCTTCAAGAAACCTGGAAGGTTAGTTGTGTACCAGAACGTACTCCTTCTACTCGACGATCTTCCAAAAAGAAGAAACACTTCCGATGGCGCAAATGGAAAACGGGTAAAAAACCTATCCAAAAATCCAAGAAGTATGTTAAAAACCCTCTTCTTCCTCTCCCTCTACTTCTAAAAGAAGCTAAGGCCGAAAGGGAAAGAAGGATCTAGAAATCAAAAAAATTGTAAATGTTACATTTGTAATGAACCTGGTCATATTGCACCCAATTGTCCCTAAAAAGGAAAAAGTGCTTCCAAAATGATCAAACAACTAAATGCAGAAGACCTCTATGTTGTCTATGGCAGTGATCTCTCTGATTCTGATGATATTCTTTATGAAATCTCTAGTCAATCTTCAGAATCCAGTGACAGCGATGAAGATGTCTGTATGATACAGTTTAATTCTCCGCAACCTGACGAAACCTCTAACATTAAATTAAGTAGTGTTACTGGTGAAGAAGTCCAGTTTACGAACGAACAACTCATTCAGTTTGCTAAACTTCAAAAGCTAAAGAAAGAAGAAGTCTACAAAACTTCCAAGTTCTTTATCTTTTCAAAAAGGATCCTTGAACAATTCAGCGGTGATACCACTATCGATTACACCTCCAGTGGCAGATGTGGATTCAATATTCTCAACAATGACAAAATTACGAGATGGAAACAACAGAATCCTCTCGCACGATATATTCATATCGGAATGGTTCAGATCAAGATTACTTCTCTATTTCGCAAAGGAACTGATCAACCAGTCCTTACCCTTGTTATGGATAATAGATTCCATAATCCTGTTGATGCCCTCATCGGCGGCGTTCAATCCAATCTTGTCAACAATGTAATTTGGTTTAAAATCAAGCCAAATTATTTTGTCTCCCTTTCAGATCCAAACATTGAGAAAGTCCTTCAAGTTAAACTTTAACTTTCCAATTTCAAAATGGATTTTGATTCTCCAAGTTTAGGAATACAGTGGAAAGTTCTCTACGAGCTTACTCGTGAACCCGAAACTGCCACCATTTCAACAATTGACTCTAAACTAGTCACTTTGTTTGAACCACATCCCTTTGATTCAGTAATTGAACCAAAATTACTTAAATGGACAGATCTCGAAATTCCTCACAATTGGTTATTCGAAAACATCAATTCAGAACCAAAATTGCATATAACTGAGCCTACTATAACCACTATTCAGGCTTCTGGTTCAAATCTTTATAGCACCAATAAAGAGAAGCAACCACAGTTGCAAAAATCAGCCTTAGCTCGCTTATCTGGCAATTCCTCTGTATGGGACAACATACTTCCTCCAAGGACATCTAATGTTCACCCTTCTGACCTACCACCTCGCAGACGGTTTACATGGGCAGAAAAAGCCAAAGCCCTCATTGATGCACCTTTCCTTCCTGGCTCCAGTCAAGCCATGAAGTCTGCAAAGTTTTTCCATTTCAGACAAGGGAATGATGAAATCCTTATCGCACCTTCTCAAGGGAAAAAGTGAAAGTATAACTATGTAAATGGTATTCTCAACTTTAAAGGTTATAAACCTTATAGCCTATGTGTACTCATAAACATTGGAGCAACAACCAGTTGTTGTCGTTTCAACGCTATTCCATCTAAAAAATGGCGCCAAATGAAACATCCCATTGGAGTCCAAGGTATTGACGCTGAAGCTCCCATGAATGTCATTCAATTTAAAGCAAAAGATATTGCTATTTAGTTAAATGATAAAAAAATTAATCATACCAAAATTACTTTGCTTTCCATACATGCATGGTGATTTCATTCTTGGTTGTAACTTTATTTATAGTTATCTTCCTTTACAGTTAAATGAAAAAACAATTTCTTTAACTTTAAAAGACAAAACAGTTGTTGAAATTTTAATTCAAGAAAATTTAGCTTCTGTTTGTAATGAAAAATTTTCTCCACCAAAAAGGGAAACTAATGAACTTTTTGTCTTAAATGACACTCACTGGTTATATGCCATTTTGAGACAAAATTTCTCTGATAATCCTTTAACTCTATGGCAACGGAGTCATCGTTTTTGCAGCTTAAAACTTAAAGACGATAACATCATCATTCGTGTCAAACCAATGATCTATCTTCGGAAGGACATCAACGAATTTGATGATCAACTCCACGATCTTCTTGAAAAAAAGCTCATCGAGCGTATAAAAAGCCCTCATAGCAGCCCTGCTTTTATGGTTAGAAACCATAGTGAGGTAAAAAGAGGTAAAGCCCGTATGGTAATCAACTATAAATGGCTTAATGAACATTTAGTTTTTGACGGATATTTTATTCCTCGAAAAGATGTTCTCATTAATCAAACTCGCGGAGCAAAAATCTTCAACAAGTTTGAATGTAAAGCAGGTTTTTGGAAAATAAAATTAAGAAAACAATCTAAGCCATTAACTACTTTCAGCACACCAAGAGGTCATTATCAGTGGACCGTCATGCCATTCGGTCTCAATACTGCACCTCAGATATATCAACGATGGATAGACAAGATCTTTAATGACCTTAAAGACTTTGTTGTTGTATACATCGATGATATCTTGGTCTTCTCTAACACAAGAGAAGAACATAAAAAAACATCTCCATTGTCTTTCAGAAAAACTGAAAAACCATGGAATCATACTATCTCCTACAAAGATAGATTTTGAACAGGAATCGATTGATTTCCTTGGTCTAGTTTTAACCCAAAAAGGCATAAAACTACAAGTTCATATCATTATTAAGATTCGTGATTTTCCTAATATTATTCAAGATAAAAAACAGCTACAAAGCTTTTTAGGAATCTTGAATTATGGTCCCAACTTTATTAAAGATTTGTCTCAAAAGGAGCTCCCTTTAATAAAAAAGCTACAGAAAGATACTGTGTTTGACTGGACCGATAACAACACCTCCGTTGTTCAACAAATCAAACGCAATCTAGTCCATATCCTTGAAGTTTATTTTCCCCAAAACGGTGATAAACTTATTCTTGAAACCGACGCCTCTGACTTTTGTTGGGGTTGTGTGTTAAAAACTATTCCACAAGATAAGTGGGATGAAGCTATTTTCACAAATCATCAGATAAGAGCACGAAAAACTCCTATCCCAAAAAAACTTCAAAAAGAAGAATTGATTTATGGATGTAATTCTGGAAAATTTCAACCAAATGAATAGAATTATATTATATATGAAAAAGAACTTCTGGCAATCAAATTAGCAATAAAACAATTTCATATTTATCTTACTCCAAAAGATTTTATTATTCGAACTGATAATCAAGCAGTTAAAGATTTCCTAATAAACAAAAAGAAATGTTTAAATGGACGTCGATTAAAATGGTATAATGTTATTGCTCAGTATTCCTTTTCTATTGAACATATTAAAGGTACTAACAATTTTCTTGTAGATTTTTTGAGCCGCAATTATAATGAAGTATCTAACCAAGATATTTCTTTTCCCACAGATGAGTGATCAAGGTAAAAAGCCTTGTCCTGACAAAGATGGTTGGATCACAGTTGCTAAAAAGGCAATCGATAAGCCAACTCCATCACAGCCAAATAAATGGTTTGTGGTTTTTGCTGGTCACCAACCAGGTATCTATGCCGAATGGAACGACTGTCACAAACAGTTACGCTCTTTTCCTGGCTCATGTTTCAAGGCTTATGTCACACTTATAGATGCTTAAAATGTTTTCTATCACGTGGGCAAAGCCTCACAAAAAATGTTTTCACAACTCCAGGAGCAAATAGAAGTAAAAGACTTCTATGATCCCGGACTTCCAAACAATTTTTATAATGAAATTAATAATGTTTGGAAATATCATAAAATCGGTGCCAATAAGAAATTCAGGCAACACCTGAGTACTCTTACGTCTCTTGTAGCTGAACAAACAGCTATGACTGATGAGCTTAAAAAGCTTTGCATCCAAATCTGTCTCACCATTGACTGGGAAAAAGATTTTTCTTTATCACAAATAAATTGTTTTCTCAAACTTGCCCAGTTAGTTGGAGAATTAGATTTTTCACAAAATACGTTTGCTAAAATCAATCGTATATGTCTTCTTGAAAAAGTAAGGAACATTTTTCCTCCTGAACTTTTCAGAATCATCCTCTCCAAAGCATTAGATCATTTTGTTACAATAAAAAACTTTTATTTCTCAAATCATGAAGACATCAATACCTTTGATGTACTTTACAACGGGAAAACAGTCCCCAAACTGACTCTTTTCATTATTCCCGGTTTTCCTTGGTCAATGGAACCTGTCGATTGGGGAGTAATTAACAAAATTACTTTCTCATCTCATGACTCTTGGAAAAATTTTCCTACAATGGTCAAAGCAATGACCTACAAAGTTACTGCTCAATGGCAATACAGTCGAAATCTCGCTTTCTGGATTTCCAGTACTATTGGATGACAAGAAAAAACTCGGTTCTTCCAACCCTATCAAATCTGGTTCCTCAAACTTACTGAAGCAGATGAGTATGAACATACTCAAATTTTAAATTCAGAGGAAATTGTTAACGGCATCCAACCTTATGAACTTGCAATGCACAGTCTTCTTCACCTACAAGATAAAGCCCGCCGAATCCTAAATGGATCCTTTAATAACTATGACCAAGTTGGTTATTGCTGTGATAGACGAAAACTTTTCATCACCTCTCTGAATATGTATTACCTAGAATATTCAGAAAATCATGTTCTAACAGCCAAAGAATTTTTAAAAGAAATCGTGGCTAATACAATTGATGTTCCCGAAGTCATCTGCAGTGGTGCCAATGACATCAACCTTGATTGGGACAATGCCGATGCTCAATCTCCAGTAAGCACTCCTCCACTTAATGAAAACGAACTCCATAATCTCATTAATGCAATGGAAGGATAATCTGTCACTCTTCTCCCTGATCGACTGCAGTTCATCCAGCACACGACAAGAAGAGTTGTCAAATCTACTATTCATCAATAGTGAAAGTAGCCGAAAGTAGCCAACAAACTATTCATCAACAGTGAAAGTTGCCGACATCCACTTTAAGGAATAATAAAAAGAAAGATTCGTTCTTATCTTCTCGACCTTTTGTAATATTATTTAAACCGAGACTCCACTAAGGTTTCGGCATCTGAAGTTTATATATATTTTCTTTAGCCAGTATTCTCTCTCTTGTAAAACATTCTCAGTTTTTATATTTTATCCGCACTAGTCTGTAACTGGCATCAGAGCTTGTACCTCGAGGTTGGACCATTATTGTAAGCTTTCCTTACTATATTACAGTACTATTCAGTGTTATTTGTGCTTTAAATACTATTATAAATCTCATACATTTGATTACTGTTTAAAGCGCCCATATTTTCCTGTATTAGCTTGTTTATCTGTACGACTGTTTTAAAAGCTTTGTCACAGGAACACACGGTTTTAGGCACCATAACAGGAATCAAAAGGTCTTAAGAACCCTTAACTGTTTTCTTATGACACAAACTACCTCTGTCGGTTGTATCTATAATATTATAGGACAAGACCATAATAATTATAATCATACTGCACATTTTTCAACTTCAGATCCACTCAATTTTAGCCAAATTGGAGCAGGAATGAACTTTTTAATCGATATGGTTAATAATTGGAAATACGCATTTCAACTTCAGACCCACTCAATGTTAACTCGCATTGAAAACATTAAGCTTAACCATCATGTTGCCAAAAGAGATGTCCATAATGCCGGCTCTACAATTAATGGTGGCATTGGCGGTGGCAAGGAATGGTCTTCTTAGGATGATTGGAATGTGATTAGTGAGATTAGGGACTAGCTCAGTATCTAGTACCACAAAATTAACCGGGGAATAAAATTTGTCAACCTTAATTAAGATGTCCTTAACAATTCCCCTCAGTTTTATAATTGATTTATTGGCTAGTTAGATGACTACCGATGTTGGCTTTAAGTC